CAACCACCGCTTCCGAATCGTGGTTGGGGGACACTCGCGCGCCGAAACTATCAGGGCCATTCGCACTTGTGGGATAGTTGCAATGGTCGTTCATTAATGTACATTGGGTTTTGGATTAATAAAGCCCGCCAGCGTGAAGAGTTGTTACAATCCAGATGGATTGCAATCCAGATGGGTGATTTCATTTTGATTATGATCAAAAGTCTACATGTCTGATCTAATGTGGGATTAAGATACTGGGCAAGGAACGAGCATGAAACATCCCCAGTCACACCGCATAAGAGTGTATGATCTTGGACGGAGTGGTTTCAGAGACGGCACATCCCTCGAAATGTTTTTTCTACTGATGAGTTTTCATACGGTCATACATGAATATATACAGAAGGTGGTGATTTTTCACCTCACTTGAGCAGGACCCGGAAAGAACGGCTGGAAGGATCAACGGCTGAGTCGCGGAGAAAGTGCAGCAGAGTCGTGGAGTTTCGGGCTGGTGTGCCCAGAGCCTAGCAAGGTTTGCACCGTTGAGGGTGTTTTGGGCCCATGTACCCCTCTGAAGTAGCACGAGGCCCGTGACTGAAACCAGTCTGTAGAAACTATAAGGGCGTGTTTAACTGCAGAGTCCAGTGCATATGCCCTTGTTGCATCTTGTTACGGCATTTGTTTGTTTGACTACAACATTAATGTTCCGGGTTCGAGCCCAAAACGATGCCTTGTCAAAAACAACTGTGAAGTCTTCGCAGCCCAGGTTGAAGCTAAAGTGGTTGACATCCTAGTTGTTCAGCATGAACAAAACCGGGAATATCGGAATATCTAAGAAACCTTTCAGATCACGCGCAACCATTTAGTTGGTCATGGTTTTGCCTTTCGATCACATTGCACTGGTGTGCGATTGATATTACAGGAAAAGAACAGATTGTACGGAGAAATCAGTTGTGATATTGTGTGTGTTTTCCTGCCTCCAGAAACAGAGTTTGTCACATTTAACGCATTCATGCTTCGTGTTGAGCCATGTTAGATGCACGCCATGTGCTACAGCTCAGCTTGCTTTGGCTGGCCTGGATTTGTGCTGCGCAGACTCCAGGCACCTTAGCAACCAGTCAAACCAAGGGTTGGAAGTCCTGATGAGACACCCCCGCCGTGGCAGTTTCGTTGTGCCAAAGGGAACTTCAGGGTACCTGTTTGGTACCGGTTGTGGATGGAAAGAGTTCACAATTTGAGTCTGCAAACGTAGATGTCATCAGCTATATAGACTCGACCGGGGCTTAAATGAACATTGAATAAGAGCCTGTGTCACATACTATGTATAGCCAAGGAACCAAGGTAATTTGTTTGCACGGTTATGTTCCTTCTTCAGTACTCTTGTCCCATGAGGTTCAACAACTCGAAGGCTGATGCAACATGGAACTATGGTTTGCTATATAATTCCTGCCAGGAGGAGCAAACCTGTAGGTCTTTCCAGAAAGACCAATAACTAACCCATGTCCTAGCGAATACTACAGAACCCCCACCATCAATTTCTTGGGGTTTGATTTGACATCGAAGGTTAGACCCTGTTCAGTGAGTATATTGACCTTCCCTTCCACTGTATACTCCGTCTAATGCTTGGACACCCAGGTGTTTCACCTCAAATCAACATTTACTCGGAGGATGCAGAGGACTTCGCCAGCGGGGTGCCTTTCTACCAGTGGCTTAAGCATGTGACAATTCAGGTGCCGAAGCCGACTGGGCCCTTGGGGAATCCCTTGCAACTAGATGGAGGCGCATTCGTTGGACGTGCAAAGAGTTGTTTTTCTGCTGGACAAAAAGAGCCTCCCGGGATCCTGAGGAGAAATCTGGTCCCTATTCAAGTATACTGGATGGAGTAGATTGCGCAATCAATCCTCCAAAAGTGGCTTAACATATATGGACCCCAACGTAGGCGTTTGTGTCACCCACTTTGAAACCGTTGCAATTCAATACACACAACGCCCTTGTTGGGTGCCCCAACATCCCCAGCTCCAACCCAAAATCCATCCCAGCTCCATCCTCGACCCTGAGAAATCAGGCAATTGCAGCCAGATTCGCATCAACAGTCTTGATGCCCAGGACTTGACAGTGACAGAACCCTGGCAGTGATAGAAACCAGCTTGTTTTGGTTCAGCTAGCAGCTGGTCCGTGTGGTGTCAAGGTCCATCCTTTTCGGCGGGGTGGTTGTACGTGGTTGTCCCAATTGACTATTTGTTCAGGTGGGTTGAAGATGTTGAAGCAGGTGTTGATTCTTTTCAGCATTTTCCAAAAAAGTCTACTCCTAGGATTTGACGCCTGCCTTCTCCCTGCACATCTCAGCACATTTGGAATGCACCTTACTGTTAAGTGGGGGGCTCCTTAGCCATTGGCTTTGCCATTGACAACGCCACAGCAGACCTGGCCTTCCTGGTGCAACCGGTCGAAGCACCTGGCAGTTCTGGCCTCTTGGTGCCCTTGGGGAAGGTGAAAGTGACCAGGTGCAAAATCTCTATCATCATGAGCCGCTCGTTTGCATCCCAGGGCATTGGACTGGCAGAACATCACCCCCCAACCAGAATCACCACCAACCATATAGATCGAGGGATTCAGAGCAAGCCGGCCGGTCTCTTCTTTTTTCGGGGGGGGTAGTTCGGGAAAGTCGGAGCTGGCTGGAGCTGGATGGATGAGGGATGGGGGGGGGCTGGAAGTCCTGTGGGCTCTTCGCAAGGGCAGGAACACAAATTCCGCTGAAACCGGTGCTTTTGGTGAAACCAAGTGGTCAGTTGGTTAAAGAAAAGGTGCCATCAGATGCCGTAATATGACCTGACAGGTGCAAGAAACATGTACGTGGCTGAAGTCACATGACTGATGCGGAGCCAAGGCTACGTGACCTCCACCAACTCTTGAGTCCTTTTTTTGACACAGCCTTTCATGAGACGATGGGCCAAGGCATGCTACGCTTCACGGGCTCTTCACCTTTGAATGAGGCTTTGACTCAGCTACATCCAGCCTTAGAGCAGTTCATCAATGAGGAGCTGCCGGAGGCACCCAGGATAAGGGGGGGGTTGTTGGTCCGCGCTCCGGCACAGTCAAAGGGAGAACGGGCGGAACATAGACCAAATTGGTTTCATTCTGCGTATAGAGGGGGCAGGGCGGATGGGTACCATGCGACGTGCATCTGTGAAGAGAGAAACAGAAAACGACGGAATCCGCTGGAAGAGCGGGAGACTAGAGGTTCTCATGCCATCAGGATCCTCAAAAGCCATCCTGAAACATCCACAGCTTAGTTTTGCTTATAAGGTGAACTCTTGATGTTCTCTATGGTAAGTGGAAAAAAATCCTATAGAGAAGGTGAACACTTGGTGAATCCCCTTCCGGAAATAAAAAACAACACATTTTCCCAAGTCGCAGAATCCAACGACTCTGCAGAGGATCTGTGAGGACCTCAACCGACGCCCGAGCTCGGTTGTTCCGCACGAGCTCGGCGGACGTCAAGCCGACGGACGGATAGGAAACCATGGGTCTTCGCAATAGAGTGAATAGAGGGTCATTGAAGGAGAAACCTGTTTTGCACTAAATATTAATAATAGAACACTCAATCGCTCTTGTCATGTCATGTAAATCTGCACTTTATGATCTTTATGGGGATATAGCGGAGAGCGGAAACCTATAAAGATTTGCCATGTGTTGATCCGCATGCGTGGGCAGATGGAAAGGAGAAACTCTACGAAGGTTGACCAGAAAACCGATTGGAGACCATTGAGTAGCAGCGGATGTTGTTGCGGCAACAAGGCCTTTACATGGATACAACTGCATGCTCTCACCTTAACTATGAATCATATACTCCATATATAATGCAAATGAGACCCCGCAGATCCCATCAGACAGATGTAACAAGTGAGCCGTTGTGAGCCCAGTCCTTCCCCGTCGACACGCCCAGTCCGACCCGGCTCGACGAGCGTGTGTTCCACCCGTCGCGGGGGGGGAGGTCGCTTGCTCGCAGCTGGAGCCCCTGATCGAAAAGCAAGCTTCGGCCACGTTGCTTCGGCGCCAGGAACCCGGACGTGTCCGTTTGGTGTTGTCTTTTTTGGGTGTGTGTTGTTTTTCTGTGTTTTGTTTTTCCTATGTTATGTGTTTCTTTTTTGTCGGGGGTGTTTGCTCTCCTTTCAATTCCTTTTTTAGGAGGGTGCGACGGTTCAGGTGGAAGGGGGCGGTGCAGCAGTTGGAGAATCACGATTTAAGAGTAGGAACATGTTTTGACGATTATACCCTCCTATCAAAACGTAGCAGAGCAGAACAGTTATGTTGTTTTTGCTTGCTATCTTTGAGATTTTGGTGCAAGGTTGAATGTGATTTATATGCATGAGTTTAGCCACCCTAGAGGTGGATTTGGAGAATGTGTTTGCAGCATGTTCAGCTTGTTTCAGAATGGAAGACCTTCAGTTTCTGCCCTCAAGACCTCTCAGAAGGTTCGTCCTTTCAACCTTTGATTCGGCCGCCCTTGGCGAGTTCCAACCTTTCAGCAGCCCAGGTTGGCCGCCATGCTGATTCAGCTCGAGCCCTTCCTGCGGAAGCATCCGCCTTTGCCCCCCCCGAGCCGACCCGTTCGGGAATTCCTTTGGTGGACTGGGAGACGTATCCACCTGCTCACTTGCTCCGTTCATTGGCCCAAAGAAGACCAGCGCAAGTGGCATCAGTGATACAGAGGATTTCCACACAAGAAATTCCCCTGAAGCCTGGCGAAAAGAACATTGAGAAAGTTCAAGTGAGTAGACTCATAGAATCTCATAGAGAAGGCTATTTGTTCAAGAACAGTGTTCAATTGTTACATGACTGGAATGTTCCAATTTCATCCAATGTCATGTTCACTCATGTTCTATTGGAGCACCTAAAAAAGGCAATTGTCCTTTTCTCCTCACATCTCATGACGTTTGAGCTGCCTTCATCCTTCAATAGATGTGGCAAGCATGTTTTGCAGGTTTTGCACATGATCAGTCGCTTGTTTTCTCATCACTCGTCAGTCTTCACTCCCAGATCAGTCTTCACTGCGCCAACTGGGAACGACTCAGGAAGATGCTGGGGGTGAATCGTTCCGTGGCGATCGACGCTGTGGGAACGACGCTTCGCAGCTACATGCAGGAGCTGAGGATCCAGGGGCTCAACAGCTTCGTCGCAGGAAGTCTTGCATTACTGGGTTCAGGTCGGAAATGGTCGCATCCGGGCTGTTGTTTGCGGATTGGGACATAGCAATTCAATTGGAGGCGTCTTCTTGATTCAAACTATAGATACATTATAAGTATGCATCACTTCCTCTACACGGCGTGTTGTTGAACTTCATTTGGTTGATCGGTCCATTGTTCTATTTTTTTGCGACCCCAGATAGCGAGAGCTATTGCCTCTGCTTTGGAGCTTGGGTGCTGGTGCCACTGCAGGGCGCTGCTGCCAGATGTGTGGCCTTTGTGCGCTTTAGAGCTTGCGTGCTGGTGCTGCTGGGTGCCGCCCAAGCGTGCTACTGCAACATGTCTTTGACTGTGTGCGCACGGGGGGCGCTGCAGAGTGCTGCTGCAGTGCGCTGCCCACAAAATCTTTGGCGACTTGGGGTCTACGCTGGCGTAATCCAGTGGCTGTGTGGAGCAAACCAAGAACCAGGTTGCCCGGCCGCATGCGCCGTGGACCCGGATGTACCCACACGTATCCACTGAAGCCAAGGTCGGCCTTGGATCGGGAACTCAGGCTCAATCTTCAACTTTCTGATAGCTTCTTAGCCGTCCCTTTCTGATCAACATGCAAAAAGGTGGGGTAGACGACACCGCCAGCCTCTTACCCGAACACGGCGGTTTCGGCGGCGAAGCAGCCGGAACACTGTGCAGATCGAGCACCAGCAAAAGCCACCCAACCGGTCACCACTTCCAGCTGCACTTTCCAACCGTGGAAATTCCGCAATATCAAGGGTCCTACGTCCTACGTGTCCTATATCTATTCTAGACCACGCCACATGTGTCAAATTCCGTTCACATCCGCCCCCCTTTCCTTCAAACCCATCACAGAAAACCGCTGAACGGTGGAAGGCCAACATATCACCGGCGCTGCCGCCTTTGCAAACCTGAGCTTCGCGGTGCGGCTGCAGGCGCAGGTCCGCTCGGTGGAGTCTTGGCAGGATATTGGAAGGGACGGCTCAACGAAATGTAACAAACAATGCGAGAAAAGACGTTCAACATGCATTTTTTTCCCCACCTGTCAGGTGAGGGTTGTTAGATTGTATGTCAGCTGCCTTGCTCCTTCTCCTCCTCCGCCGATGGCAGCGTTCGCCCTCCAGACTTTAACCGCCAGCTCCCGATGGCAGTGTTCCCCGGAACCTCAACCGCCAGCTCCGGATGGCAGTGTTCCCCGCCGGACCTCAACCGCGAGTCAGAAGATATGACACATAGAACGCCAGAAAGAATGTCAGACAGAATGTCAGAAGATATGCCAGATAGAATGTCAGAAGAGATGTCAAAAGAAATGCCACAAAGACTGTCAGAAGATATGCCAGATAGAACGCCAAAATGTCAGAAGATACGCCAGAGAGAATGTCAGAAGATATGCCAAAAAATGTCAGAAGACTTGCCAGAAAGAATCTCAGAAGATCTGCCAGATTTCCATGCCAGGATCAATGTCGGAAGAGACGCCAGAAATAATGTCAGAAGATATGCCAGATAGAATGTCCGAAGATATTGCAGAATTCATGTCAGAAGAGATGCCAGAAAGAATATCAGAAGATATGCCGGAAATAATGTCAGAAAGAATGTCAGATGAAAGAAGGTCAGAAAATATGCCGGAAAAAACTGTAAGGAGGTACGCCAGAAAGAATGCCGAAAAACATGCCTTCAATACATGCCAGAAATTTTGTCAGGTTGAAATGTCATGGTGGGGATCACTCGAAGTATAGTAGTTATACCTTGGATCGTAAACCGGCCAGCAGCAAACAACCGAGGGAGATGAAACGAGTCAACCCCACCAATATTTTTACTAGCAGCAGCAGCAGCAGCAGCAGCAAGAGTAGTAGTAGTAGCAGTAGTAGGAGGAGGAGTAGTAGTAGTAGGAGTAGTAGTAGTAGTCGTCGTGGTAGTAGTAGCAGCAGTAGTAGTAGCAGTAGCAGTGCTAATAGGTATTTTGTATTACACATTATGTATCAGGTCCTTAGGTAGTAGGTATTTGTCAATTTCTAGTCAGTATTAAGTTAGTAGCAATAGTAGTTGGTGGTAGTGGCAGCGGAAGCAGGAGGAGGAGTATAGTAGTAATAGTAGGAGTGGCAGCAGCAGTACCAGTAGTTGCAGTGGTAGTGGTAGTGGGTAGCGGTTGTAGTATAGCAGCTGTAGGAGTATTGGTACAGTAGCATTGGTGGTGTTAGTGGTAGTCGTCGTCGCCGTCGTCGCAGTAGTAGCAGGAGAACAACAGTAAATAGGCAAACTAAGCTGAAATATTTTTTTCAGGGCTCCAAGTTGGCACATTAACCCCGCCCCCTCAACTGACATATTTCATTTTCCCTTGCGCGCTATACCCCTGGAAAAGTCACTTGGAGCAATGATTTCGATGATTTGTGTGAAGTGGTTTTAAACCATGTTTTCAGGTCATCGTTCCAAGAATCAAACAAAACCTGAGAAGAGGTTAAGCACCGCAATGGATGAACAATAGATAATTTTGATACCTGTGCAAAAACACTTTTGGTTGATTTTTGGTTGTTCACTACCCGTTCCAGGGTGGGTGACAAATAATGCGGAAACATCCTATCATTCCCTCCCATTTGACTAATTAGCAATTGACTTGCCCTACATTGGATTGGTTGCGATGTCATTCTGTTCCATTATGGCGTCTAAAGTGTCCTAAAGTGTCCCAAGTATAGCCTCAGCATAGGCCTTAGATTTAAAGCTCTTCTTGGGGATAGACATATTGGTTGGACAATTTGTTTGAGAAGACCTGGGGCTGGACTTGGTTCCACCACCTCACATAGTATACCTCTTGAGCAGCGCTTTGCTGGCCTTATAAATCCGAATCTTCCAGATCCACTGCCATGAAATGTTGGTCTTGTGTGCCCAGAAGCCACTCACAACAGCAGGTTTGGCGCGATTATTTTTTTCAAGCGCTTTTAGCCACAATGCTTTGTTGTGCTTTGTTACTCCCTCGTCCCTTGGCGTATCCATGGGGTGCCTGGAAGACATCAAGTGCAACGCGTGGGTTTGTTGAATCCAGGTTCCGCTGATGATCGGGTTTAAGTCGACGACCTGCTCTGATTTCGTGGCAGGTGCAGTGCATGACTTGTGGCTCGTTTTCAGAAATCGGAGGAAGTCTCAGGCGAATGCTGTTTTGGCATCTTGATGTTGTTTTTTGGAAGCGTTTCTGCTGCGAATCGCCTTGGCAGGGCTGCATGACGTGATGTGAATCTTGATGCGCAGGTTTTTTGGCAGGCGTGCGCGCTGCTTCGTGGACCTTGAAGATTCAGAAGTGCAGATTTCGTGGCAGGCGCAGCACTTTGTGGACCTTGCATGCCCTGTGGGTTGCAAGATTTCTGGACCTACCTGCTTCTCAATTGTTTTCGGGTGAGCTTTCAGGTTGCAAGATTTCTGGAACTAACTGGTGCCAAAAAAAAATTCGGGTTAACTTTAGGTTGCAAGATTTCTGGACCTAACTGGTGCTCAACATTTTGCTGGTGAGCTTTAGGTTGCAAGATTTCTGGACCTAACTGGCGCTCAATATTTTGGGGTAAGCTGTAGGTTGCAAGATTTCTGGACCAAAATGGTGCTCAAATTCTTTGGGTGAGCTGTAGGTTGCAAGATTTCTGAACCTAACTGGTGTTCAAAATGTTGCGGGTGAGTTGTAGGTTGCAAGTTTTCTGGACCTAACTGGTGCTCAAGATTTTGCGGCTGAGCTTTAGGTTTCAATTTTTTTGGCCCAACTGTTGTTAAACAGTTTCTGGGTGAACTTTAGCATCCAAGATTTCTGAACTGGTGCTCAATATTTTTCGGGTGAACTTTAGGTTGCAAGATATGTGGAGCTATCTGGTGCTCCAAAAATGTTCGGGTGAGCTTTATTTTGCGTCGATATATCCCTAAGCCCTAAACTCCATGGCCAAAAAAATGGGCAGCATTTATGAAGATGTATCTAAAGATGTATCTGGAGCATTAATGCGGCTCGTTTGGGCCGCAAACATTCATACAACAAGCGTTCTGTCATTTGTTCTGCACATATACATATACACAAATGTTGTTCTTGTAAGTTAAACAAACACAAAAAACAGTTGAACTTGTTTTAAAAATAAACACTTGAAAACTTATTTGAGGTTATAAGTAACTTACCAAAAATATATAATTAAAGTTATAAAGTTGGAATATCATCCTCATTCCTTGCCTTCAACATAACTTCTGTAACTTCGGCAACTTAAGTTATAACTTATGTAACTTCAATAACTTAGTTATAACTTCAGCAAGTAGAAACCGGCAACCAAGTACATAGTCCACACCATCCAAACCGTCAGTTCGGCATGCCGTCACGTACCCGCACCTGTCCAAACCCTCAAGGCCTGATTCCGTGTCAACGCAATTCAAGCATAAGACTTGGGGACATGTTTTTGCTATATTTGAGGCCCAATTAATAGCCTCAAAGAGATCGAGCTCAACGAGCAGTTCCAGTGATAGGATAGGTGTGAGCCGTGCTGGTCCTAGCCGTGCTGTTCCTAGCCTCACCTCCAAGTAGATAGCTTCATGTATAGGTCTATAGGTCCTGTAAGATGTCAAAAAAATACACGTGTATGGTCTATTGTACGATGATCTCACACTTGATGGGTTCATTGTGCAAATCTTCTGTGCAAATCCCAAGATTTCTTCAAGGTGAGGCCTACTCTTCACACGTCAACAGCTTTGAGCCCACAAAGTACTTCCTCGGGTGGCCCTTGGACCCTTACATTGATGCTTTTGTTGTGGTTTTCAACCAAAACCGATGTTCATTGATACTGCCGGAGTGCTCTTTGGCCGTGTCGACATCACGATACTTTCTCACTCCATCCGGTACAGTACAGGCGATCGGCTTTGCAGCAACCTAAGGACCCATCGAAGATGAAACAAGCGACGCCGCTCCTGGAAACCTTCGCCGCCCAACGAAAGTTCGCCCGTGGGTTTTGCACGGAGGGCTGCAGGGGGGCAGGTTCTAACCAGCTATACTCCCGAAAACTAACATGGACCCTGAGAATGGAACACTCAAAGACTGTGTTCCTCTACAATGTTACAAACCAGAAGTTTTCGGGAGGTCGTGTGTGACTGTGTTTTTAGGGTGGAGCAGTCTTTGGTGTATGGATGGAACAGGTGGGGACAACTAAACTCTCATGTACGAATGTTTTTTTTGAATCAATCAAACAATAGTGTGTGACCCGAGCAGCGAAGAGATTGTTTGGTGCTCACATGGTCCCGCACCCGTCCTCGGGTCCTGATATCGGGAAACATGACATTGGGACACACATATAGAGACCAACTGATCAGACAAGACGCAATTGGCATCTAAGGAGGTTCAACTACACTTGGGCAGTGTAACAGCACGAGCTGAGATTTTGGCCATGGTCTCGCAAGAAGCTGTGGACAAGATGCAGGTGGATCAATTTCAGGAATTCGATTGTTTCTTGGCGCTGTTTTTTGTTGGGGGGTGAGTGAGTGGCGAGTTGCAGGGTCGCCAGGTCATGTATTCAACCAAATTTGATCAGCAAATCATTATAAATCATTCATACCAGAACCCGATCATAGGATCCAACAAGGTGTTTGACATCAAGGATCCATCACGTTTAGACTGAACCTGTTTGACATCAAGGTCTCCAAGCTGACTCGATCGATCGAGGCTTGGTGGCCTGCGCTCGCAGCGGAGCTGCGTTGGGCTCCGAGGCGCCGGTGGCCTTGCGGCGCTTGCAGATCCTGAACATGACGGCGCCCACGGCCAGGGTCCTGCCAAGAGGCCCAGTGAATATTGAAAAATAGAGTGAAGCAGCTCACTTCACCATGTGCAAGCGAGTTTCTGTTGTTTTTGGACTGGAAGGGCTCAAAGTTGAAAACAGAATGGCCAGAATTCGGCAAACATCCGCTGACTTCACCTGAAAACACACATCCGATCATGCTCCTCCCATTTGTGTTCAACCTGGATTAGGATCTTTAGATGTTGGACTGGCCGATCTGTGCACCACTCTTTTGCGAGTGATTTTGCATGGCTATGTGCCTTCCTTCGAAGCCATCATCCAGTCCTCGGTCACCATGTTGCACGATGCCATGAACTCCGTGGTGAAACAGGTCTTGGAAGTGCAACCTCCCTGTGAGCCAGCCTAAGCTGAACAGCGAAAGCATCGGAGGAGTTTTGGGACGGATGTTTTTGTTTGTTCCTTTAGGGTTTAGGCCAAAAGGTCATTGCTTCTTTGGCTGTTATGTATGTTTGTAGAAAGATACTAATTCTGTTTGCAATTGTATATTGCATATACACGTGACATTTCATGTCTTTGGAGAAAAACTTGATCGCGGTATCCCCCACATAGGCAATGACAAAAAACGTTTGCGCCACAGTCTAAATCGACTGTCCCTTAGTCGAAACCAGTCGTTCGCGGTATCCCACACCGCCACGAGTCTCAGATGCTAGGTGAACAGACTGAAGTGTATTTTGGTCCTGAGAGCCGTGTCAACCTCGCGCTTTTGCTCCTGGCCTCCTTGACGGCATTGCTGGGTCTTTTGGCTGCTTCGCCTTTTTGGTCGACCTTTGCATGGTGGGACGTTGGCAAAGTGGAGGATGAAGAGGAATCCTCCCAACAACTGTCACATGCACAGGAGTCACCATCCCTAGCCAGACATCCAGCTGTGTCCCAGAGCTTGTCGAAAGCCTTTCCCTTCTTCATTGTCTCAACAATGATCCTCTTTGTTTTCTCGGACCTTGGCTTGGGCACTGTGGTGAACATCGTCTTTGAAGCGCAGGGTGAAACCACCACCATTGGCCCAGCCTTTTCTTTCTCAGTCTTGACACTCTCCAGAGATAGCCTGAAAGGACCAGGGGGTGGCGAAAGGGTTCCCGACCACTTCTGGCAGATCAGTGAGCAAGAGTGGCAACCATCCAGTCGTTATTCTCAATTGGTGATTGTTTATATAGCCTTTGGTTTGATAGATCTATGGCTCCTGTGATCTAGCTATTTCCTATTATTTCCCACCATCCACAGGAGGAGCCTGGCTTATCGCCATCTTAGTGATTGGGCTGAGCGGAGTGTGGCCTTTTGTGAAGCTGGGCATGTTGCTTTGGGCGTGGCTGGCGCCCACAAGGTCCTTGAGGAGAAGCCAGAGGACCCAGCTACTGGTGTTTTTGGATGAGTATGGCAACTGGGCGTGGAATTGGTGTGGGTAGAGAGGGGCCGAACGAATTGAAGGTTGTGTTTATTTTTATTATCCCAAACAGAAGAGACCCTTCTTTGTCTCCGTGTGTCATTTTGTGCGTTGCATGTTTTCGGAGCTTTGGCTTTTTGAAGGCTCACTGCATCACGTTGTCAGACTCGCATCGCTGGGTGGTTGACCATGTGGCCGGTCTCCTTCGCTTGGCCGTGCTTCGCCTGTTTCGCTGTGTTCGGGTTTTGGTCTTTGATGCGAGGCAAGTACAGTTTAGTGGACAGCTGGCTGGCCATTTTGGCGTTGTGCGCCTTCGACATCAAATGGAAGAGCGAGGAGGCTTCCGTGTCCTGGTTTGGTTTGTTAGGAAAGCCAGCCTTCGTAGAAGGCGCCAGCTGAGTTGTGCTTGGCGAACGAAGCGAGTAGTGGGGGTCTGGGGGGTGGTGGCCCGCAAAAGGTGCACGTAAACTCGGCACTTGCTGGGGGAGGAGGGTGCACGGATGGAAGGTTTTTTTGAGGTTGTGTTGGAGGTGATTTTTGAGGGGTGGTGATGCAAGAAATGCAATTTGCATCGTTTGCATCATCTGAATGGTAAGGTGTAGTTGGCACCTTGGCACCTTGCCAGGTAAAAATACCCAGAGTAGCTATAGTGCAGTTACCGGGTATAGTACTTCAAGTTCCCTTTCCATCAACCGCTCGATAACCTTTACACACGCACAGCAATCCGCAGCTTTGAAGTCTCATGCGCGCGATACCTGGGAACAGAATTGTAGCTACCTTGGGTCCGTATATATGCTATGTTGCTATACCGCTACACACATGTAGGTTCAAAGGACGAATGAGACTTCAAAGCTGTGGCTTGCTGTGCATGTGGGGTTATCGAGCGGTTGACGGAAAGTGAACTGGAAGTACTATACCTGGCAACTGAATTGTGGCAAGGCGCCAGCTGAGTAAGAAGGGGGGGTTCGGGGGGGTGGCCTGAGAAGGTACACTCGAAAGTAGGTGGTGTGTAGGGGTGCACGGAAGCAAGGTTTTGGAGGTGCCTTTTTGTGATTGAAAGAAATGCAGTTGTCTTCGGTGGTTGCAGTGCTAACTGAACTGTAGCTACCCTGAGTATACCTGGCAACTGCCTTGTAGCTGCCCTGGGTCCGCGCGCGCGCGCGCCTAAATCACGGGCAGCCGGGAGCCAGCAAGGCGCGCGAGCGAGCGGACCCAGGGTAGGGAAATTGAAGTGGGATACCTGGCAACAGAATTGTAGCTACCCTGGGTCCGTATAAATGCTATGTTGCTCTACCTCTTACACACCTGTATAAGTTCAATGCAAGAATGAGACTTCAAAGCTGTGGTTTGCTGTGCGTGTGTAAAGGTTATAACTCGAGCGGTTGACGGAAAGGGAACTTGAAGTACTATACCTGGTAACTGAATTGTAGTTACCCTGGGTATCTATACCTGCGCCAGCTGAGTAAGAACGGGGGTTCGGGGGGGGTGGCCTGAGAAAGCACAATCGAAAGTAAAAAAGCTGGCTTTCGGTTTGCAGCTTCTCAGGTGATGTTGGGTGTTCACATGTTCCCCTTGTGCGAATCCACCAGAATTGGGAAGCTCCTGAAACACATCCAAGGTGAATGTGATGCCAGTTCCAATGCTTCCCTTTTTCACCTTCGTTGTGGCCAGCGTGTTTTCCTTGGTCTTGGGCCATGTGGCAACTGTCTACAACCGGAGGTCTTTAGCTGTGGCGCCATTACCCAGATCGCTCAGCCGGGAATTACAGGAAGAAGAACTTCATGTGCTCTTCGAAGATCTTCCACTCAGACAATCATGGCAACTCTTGCTTTTGACCCTTTTCTCTGGACTCAGTTTGCTGGTGTCGTGTTTCCTAAGCACCATCCAATACCAAGTCTCAGGTGTGATTGCTGATTTGTTGCTCGAGGAGGAACAGAAAGAACTCTCATATAGTTTGATCACACTGGGGAGTTTCCTCACCACAGGCTTTGAAGCTTCAACAGGCCTGCGAACGGTCCAGTTCATTTTCTTTTCCTTTACCGTGGCCATCCCGCTGGCACTCGTGGGCACCCTACTGGCCTTGCTCCTTTGGCCTATGACTCGGCCTCAGCAAAAGCGTTTGCTGAAGGCTTGTCATGTCCTGGATGCTTGGGCTGCATTCGATGTCTTTGTCCTGGCAGTGGTGGTGGCCAACTTTGAGTTCTGGCTCTTGACAGAATTCCTGATGTATCATGATAATATTGCCGCCGCATGCCACTGGGTTCACCAGAACTTAAACGCGGAATGTTTGGCCATGCAATGTCACGTGCTCCCGGGATTTATTCTGATGGCATTTGCTGGGATTGCTTCATATCTCACTCCAAAGATCTACTTTCAGCTTTGTGAAGGTACCATCGAAGAGAGAGTACTTTCCTCGTCGGATTCTGAAGAAGAGCCGCTTCAGACGCTTCAGAAGTTGTGACGTGCGCCAAAACAGAATATTTATTGGAGGATGAGTACTCAGGCAAAAGCAATTTCCATGAACTCTTGCATGTTTGCGCCATTCCCACCTTGCCAAACACATGTTCCAAATGAAAACCACCATCATGTGTTTTTCGGGTCAGCTGCATTCAGTTGACTTTGCCATGGCCTTTAGACATTCTGTAGACATCAGTCGACCCACAGGATCCAGGACATACGCGGGCGGAGCATTGACAACACGGGATAACTGGATAACCGTCGCGTCAGCACTTTTTTTTTCCCCGAAGGGGTGACACTGGGACACTGGAAGGTCCATTTGACGTCGCAGTTTCCAAGGGCGTGAGGGTGTACATGGCCCGAAGTCAGTTCTGGCTGAAAGAAACGCGTGTGCGTATGCATCAGAGCACTAACAAGCTGTATGTACTCATAAATTCAATACATTCGACTACTGTTCCCTAAGAATCAATTAGTCGTGAGTGTTGCACCGAGACCCAAGAAGCACAATTGTCAGCCTGTAATCACGATCTCTGTTAACAGCTCGGCTTGGCAAGCAAGACTTACATCACCATCACACCGTCGGACACCGTCGAACACATATAGGTCAAACAACAAAATTGAGACCTGCTGCACGGCTGGCAAGTTCTGACGTCTTGAGTGCGCAGGTGGGCGCCATTGTCGGACGCAGGGGTTGGAGACATTTGGTGTTTAGAGAAGAAGCAAAGGAACATTTAGTTGGGTGCAGGCATTTTCGCCCAATTCCGCCATTTTCGCTGTTGGTCAGCTAAGAATTCTGAGCGAATACGGTTTTGTGTTTGGAGCCAGCAAGGTCGATTGAATGATTCTGTTCCAATTAGCAGCAAAAGACATCAACATACCAGATGTTGGACTAATTACTGCACAACCATATATAGACATCATTGATATAAATAACACATACTGGCTGCACTAGCTAGATAAATCAGGGGTCCGACCCTGAAGTACCAATTTTGTTTGTTCAATTGATATTCAGAATTTGCCCAAAATAGTGATCAAGCATAATAATCCAGAGTTGGATGCCGATGATAATCCAGGAAATTAATTGAATGCAAGCTGACCTCATGCAAGCCAGGACAACCTACCCCGAATTATGTTTTTCCTAATTGATCTGGGGTACACAGACCAGAAGCCGTGTTAAAAGAAAACCTGCGTTCATAGCAGAAACAGTATGAAACAGTCATTGAGATTAATTGGCTGGTCGTGTGAGGCGGCAAGGAGGGGTCACTCTCTGACAGACACCACCCCCTCAATTAATGAAATGACAATGTACCTGGTGCCCCGCCAATTAATCTCTACATGTATTCATAAAGAGTAATTGGACCCTAAATATGGTACAACATTAATATTCCCAATATATGTGGTGGGGTATCTAATTAAGATTTGTTGATTCATTGAGAGGGGGTGGGGGACCCCCTCCCTTAGTGATGAGAATACAATAAACCTAACTATAAATTGATCATGTCTGGGGTCTTCTAATGAAACTCATTCATGCTACTGGCCGTGGGGGGGTAAGATCGGACTCACCCACCACTTCCCAACGTTTCTCCATAATATGGGTTTGAGCCAGCTTGTTCAGAGTTAGGATCTGTACCTCTCGTGGCACTCCGAGTTGGGCCGAACTCCGATGGTCTCCACGACGGGCCAGTCCACCCACCATGGTCTCCACAGACGGGGAGGGGCCGCCGGGCAGCCCAGTGCAGACGACGAGCAACTCAGAACTCTGCGGACAATGCGGGAGGGAAAAGCAACAAAAAAACACCAGGGTTGAACATTGGGTGCCTAAAGAATCCTAAAAAATACAGGACGAAAAGCTGTGTGATGTCTTAAGAAAAGCGCGGCGCCACCAGTTTTTTCGGGCCATGTGGGTCAGGTCCTGTCTTTTTGGAGCGGTTTTCGAGGGAACCATTCGATCGAACTGGGGACACTGGACACTTGTTCTGTACCAGGCGTTCAGTCCCCAAAATAGCTGGTTCAAAGAAGGGGCACGCAAGGATTTCTGAATTCGCGCCGTTTTCAGGAACAAAACTTTAGTCAACCAAACATATATATAGGTCAAAGTTGATTGACCAATACTAAGACCAGCAAGCTCTTTTTGGCCCATACGTGGTCCTTCTCGAGGCTCTTGGCCTAGTCCGCCAACTGAGGTATGTAAGTATTGTGGACAACGCAGCGCTACAAGCAGATGTGGGTGGCGCACTCTCTTCGCTACTCGAGGAGTCAATGTGGACATACATATACAGAGTTCACCTGTGAAGGAAAAAGATGTTTGCCACACTGACCCTGACAGAACACGTTGTACTTCTTGCATGCAACCTTATCCGAATGATTACCGTTCGCGCTCCACGTTCGAAAGAAAGACCGGAGCACAAGCTCGGGCTCCAGTCACTGCCCACCCGGCAAGTGGTGAAATTTGCTAAGTTGGACAACTTTTTGTTCCAATTGTTCCGGAATTCCCAGGACCTGGGCAAGAGCTCTGCCAATGCCCAGGGCCTTCGCAAGCCTGTGACGCTGGGAGCCCAATGAGGGGTTTCCGACCTGGGCAAGGGAGGAGTGAGAGGTGGAGGTTGATAGGGCAGGAATCGGCAGGGTGAGTATCAAAACTACCAGAAGCACCTGCACTACCAGAAGCACATGACTGTTGCATGTCTTGAACAAAGAAATATACGACGCAACGGCCGATCTACGCCACGCCTTCCACCTCACCCATCAGTCCGAAAAGACCACTTACGTCCGGCGGTCCAGGGTCGTGTTCTCTCCCACGCCGTGGAGAGGCGGAGACCATTGTCGCCGACCGTTCGGGTCGCGGTCCGAAGAACACTCCGGTCGTCCTTGCGATGCCAGGTCTGGAATTTGTTTGGGAGACCAACGGGTGTACCTCCTCCTGGATGGACGCACAGCCCTGGGCTTCTTGAAGGCACCGGTCTGGAGGGACGGCGGACCTGGGTGGATGGAAATCCACAGGTATATATAGTAATATATGATTATTGTTGGTGTCAAGATTTCACTTAGACTTCAGAGTTGGGTGATGAAGCAGCGCTATACACATGTGATACAAATTGTGTGATTCCAGACAGTAGACATTATGTTCCGCTGTATAACATCAGTGCGAATGGATGGGGGGTGAACGTTGGTTCTCTACTTTACAGAGGTCCCAAAGTATGTTTCATTCAAGGATAATATTCTACTTTTGGCCTTTTGGCCCCCCCCAAAAGTACTTACACCGAACAGTACTCCTTGGTGTCATCCATCCTTGGGCGCTTCATCCTCTCCGGCTCCAGGGGATGGAAAATGTTATAGTGAGAAGATGTGAGACATGGAAAACATCGCAGGATTTGCTTTACTGTGGACAAACAACAAGGTCAACAACCTCAAAACACCACGGGCTGAAGAGCGGTTTGCTCAGTCTGCTCAGAGGTGGCCATTGAGTTCGCCGAACATCACCGAACTGCGCCCAAGAACGCACGACTTAGGTAGGAAGTTGGAGTTTCAGAGACGGAAGACTGGTAGAATTCTTGGTTGGACAAAGCTGTTAATAAGCTCTCCCATACAGGTTCACGCTGAGGCCACCGCGGCCATGGCTCGTTGCTGGCCTTTGCTGTGGGTCCTGTGTGGTCTTGCATGGCTTGCACCGCCCGGACTGCCGGCTTTCCTCCAAGCGCATTCCCGGAGGCATCGATTGAAGGTTTCCAAGTCAGCTCTTAAAGATGCTGGAAGAGACAAAGATGCTCTCAGTGAAAGCTTGACCAGTCGATCAGAGTTGGGCAAAGACTCGGAGCAACTCCTCCGATCCTTTCCTCAACTGGAGGAGCAGTGTGGACCCTATGTCATCTCCTCCCAGGCTCCCGTCTTGGTCGCTTCAACCCGGAACCTCAGCAACGAGGTTTTGGCGGAGCTCCGCAACGGCCAGGTGGTGCAGATCCAGGAGCTCTCGCGTTTGGAGCAACGCCTACGGGGTCGCCTGAAGGAGGAGTCCGATGATCCGCGGTGGATCTCGCTGAAGAACACGCAAACGGGCTTTCGTTGGGCCTGCCCTAAGGGTGCCTTAGACGAGATTGAGGGAAAGCTTCAGAAGCTGGAAGCTCAGGTGAAAGAAGAGAAGGAAAGGACCTCCGATTTACCCGGAGAGGAGGAGTCCGAAATGGACACTTTGGTCGATTTGCTCTATTTGAAAGCGCTTTTTGCACAAACTGCTGCGGGTTTGCCGCCGTTGTCCAGTTTCGAACGTTCAAGGCTGGGTACGTGGGCGATGTTTGGTCGTGGGCTGGACAACTGGAACGCTGTGGCTGGCAAGCAAGGTTTTGAAGTACCATTGGTGGTGGTTTCTGGACAGCTACGGCGCGAAATCCTACGGAGTTTGGATCGAAAGCGGCTCACTTGGACTTACTGTAAGTTGATTTTATGTAAGGGGTTTGGTTTTCAGACCTACTGCCTTCTTCGCTGCACCTCATAAAAAGGTTGGATATTATGAGGTTCAGTATACCGTATCCGTATACCTGTACCTATATATATATATACCAGGGCCCCCTAAGCTGACTTGCATTTAAGAGATCAAAAGGACGTATAGCTATTTTCCTTCTAAAAATCTAAAATCCCTGCTCCCTGCCCACTGCCAAGCCAAGCCCCAGCAGCAGCAGCAGCAGCCACCGCCGCTGCTGCTGCCACCATCCAGGCAGGGACCTGGGAGCAGGCAGGTGAGCGGTGAGCATCTGGAATGGTGAGGAGACCACACCAACCCACCCAAAGAGGAGGACCAGGTGATGGTTCAGAACCCCTCCAACCAAAACCCCATGGGATCTGGCTTTAAAGGACCAGGAAAGGGCTGGTTTCAGAGAGCTTCTGGGGTGTCAAATCCATACCACCAAAGGATACCGGTACATCACACCCAAGAACCCCCATGGAAGATCACGGAAGATGGTTCCAATCACAGATGAAGGCTAAACGGAGGGTGTGTGGAGAAAGGGGGTCAGCAAAAATCACAT